GAAACCTGAGGAAAACTATGGTATAACCACATCCCGTGTGCTCTAACGGAACTACTTCGGGTGCGGTGGGAAGAGCAAAACGTAACAGGGACTGTATATGCTATAGCAACACCCCTCTCGCTCTGCCGGGGCCGCCCTTGAGGGGTGTGACGGGCAAAGCAAATTGTGAAATGATAGGGTATAGCGATGCCCCGCTCGCTCAGGCGGGGCCTGTCTGGCGCTCTGGCGGGGCCGTCCCAGGAGAGGAGGGAGAAGCACGAAAACTGAGGGGTGAGGGGAAGAAGAGGAGAGAGGAGGTAATGGAGGAGGGGGTGGGAGGGAAGGAGGGACAGAAAGGAAAGGCGCGGGCCATCTGGGCCGTCTTCGAGCGCCCTGGGGCCTCCCGCTCCCGCTCTGTGGTCCATTTTGGGCCTATCCTGGGGCCTCTTGGGCCGTCTGGGGCTCCTCGTGTGCAATTTGCAGGTTCTCTGGAGCCGTCTTGGCGCTCTTTTGGGGCGTCTTCGGCGGTCTTGAGGCGGTCTTGAGGGCGTCTTCGACCTTCTTCGAACATTGGAAGCTCGAGGACGCGAGAAAGCGAAAATCATCGAACAAACCAATGCACATCAATGATTTGGGCCTCTTCGGGCCCTCTCGGGACGTCTCTCGGAGCTCTCTTGGGCCCTCTTGGAGGCCTCTTGGACACATGTTCAAACGCTCTCGTGCAGTCTTGGGCTCTCTTGGAGCGCTCTTGGGCCATCTTGGCGCCCTCTTGAACGTCTCTCGGCCCCCTTTGATGTTTTTTGGCGCCCTTCGCTGGGCCCGAAACGGTCGGAAAACACATCAGTGCACTTTGGGGACCCCGGGACCCTAGAACCACGCATGCTCTTCGCGCGCGCTTAACTGGTCGACCGGCGATCTGTCGCCAAGCTATGGGCCAGGAAGAATACAGCGCTACAGCGCCAGTGTGCATTATGCTATGAGCGTGGCTGCGGAGCACTTATTTTTCCCCTGCGGCTAGGAGCGACCCTCGCGGCACTCTGCACCACAAAGCATTGCTCCTCCGAGCCCGCGGGGCGCGCGCCGACAACGCGCTCCCCGACCGTCGGCTCGAGGAGCAGCAGGAGGAGGCAAACTGAGCATCGTTTAACCGATCCCTATCCCCACTGGCGTGGCCTGGGACCTGCTGGTCGATTTACCCCTTAGATGCAAATGCAGGTCAACATCATATGTTTCCTTCTGCCCCTTCCTTATTCCTCCTCCTCCGCTCTCATCGACCGGTCGACCGGTGATCTGTCGCCAAGCTATGGGCCAGGAAAATTGCAGCGCTACAGCGCCATGTTGCACTATGCTATGAGCGTGGCTGCGGAGCACTTGGGGCAATCAATGAAACTCGTGTCAAGGAACCCGCACGTGCAAATATGCAGAAAAAAACGCAATATTCTCCCCTGCGGCTAGGATCGACACTCGCGGCACTCTGCACCACAAAGCATTGCTCCTCCGAGCCCGCGGGGCGCGCGCCGACAACGCGCTCCCCGACCGTCGGCTCGAGGAGCAGCAGGAGGAGGCAAACTGGGCATCGTTTAACCGATCCCTATCCCCACTGGCGTGGCCTGGGACCTGCTGGTCGATTTGCCCCTTAGATGCAGATGCAGGTCAACATCATATGTTTCCTTCTGCCCCTTCCTTATTCCTCCTCCTCCGCTCTCATCGACCGGTCGACCGGTGATCTGTCGCCAAGCTATGGGCCAGGAAAAATGCAGCGCTACAGCGCCATGTTGCACTATGCTATGGAACGCCATGATATGCCATGCTACGCTATAAAGCGCAATGCCACTATGCAGTATGCAATGCAATAACATGATATACCGTACAGTGCGCATTGCATGCCATGCCATGCTGTGCTGTGAAATGCTATGGTAATATGTTGGATGATACGCTGAGCCATATCATGCGATGTTTCCTATGAGGAACGATGCTACCGCGTTACACGGTATGCACAGACACGGCATACCGTGCTATTCAATGCAATGCAATGCTATGCCATGTTATGAACTGCTAGGCTAAAATAAACAGGACGACAGTAAGAGCAACAACGGGGGTGTGATATTTGTATGGTCACGGTTTACTCTTGCGCAGAGCAGTACGGTGCTGTTCTAGTAATGTATGCGCATTGGAATGCCATAGTACGCCACGGTGCGTCATGAGATGCCATGCCATGCTGGGCAATGTTACGTCGTGACTTGCAGTGTGAGGCTCAGCTAAACACTGCTATGGAATGCAATACGATGGTATGCTGAACCATACTGTGATATGCATTGACACGGTTAGCTATGTCGTGCTGTGCCGTGCCATGCCATGTCATGCAACGCTGCGATGCCACGATAGGCTAGGCGGTCCTTTGCTATGCACCGGTATGTTTTGGAGGCCGTTTGGGGTGCTCTTGGGGCCTCTGTTGCGGCCTCTTTGGGGCCTCTGGGGCCTCGTGGGGCACCTAGGGGGCCTCTGGGGGGCCTCTTGGGCTCTGTTGGGGGCCTCTTGGGGCCTCCTGGAGGCCTCTTGGGGCGGAAGGCTCGAATTGTCGGTTCGTGTTCCCCCTCTTGAGCCCTTCTTGGGGCCGTCTTGGGGCCCTCTTGGGCGATCTTGAGCGCCTCGTGGGCCGTCTTGGGGGGCGCGCTTGGGCCGTCTTGGGGCTCTCTTGCGCCGTCGTGGCGCCCTTTTTGGGTGTCTCTTGGGCCGCGTTGAGCTGATTTCTGGGCCCTCGTGGGCTGTCTTGGACAGTCGGAAACACGAAACAGCGAGAACACGAAAAACCTTCAAAAACCATCGAAAATAACACTTTGTTCGCCTCCTGAGTGCCTCGTGGGAGTCCTTTTGAGAGCATCTTGGCCGTCTTGAAGCACTCTCGGGCTGTCTTTAAGCCATGTTGGACCAATTCTGAAACGCTCTTGTGCGGTCTTGGGCTCTCTTAAAGCGTTCTTGGGCCATCTTGGCGCCCTCTTGCCCCCCTTTGACATTGTTTGGCGCCCCCCGCCGAGCCCGAAACGGCCAGAAGATAGATCAGTGCACTTTGGGGTGCCTGGGACCCCCTATCCATTATATAAGAGAGAGAGAGAGAGTATATATAGATATATATATAGAAAGAGAGAGAGAGAGAGAGAGAGAAAAAAAAAAAACATATAATAATAATAATAATAAACAAAAACATCGCGCGCGCTTCGCGCGCGCTCAAGATCTAGCTAGGCTTGATCGGCCAAATCATGTAATCTCATTTTGGTCGCTTCCTGCGTCCAGGGACTCCCTTGGAGGCCCTGCGCAAGCCTCGGAATCGTATAGAAGGGAAATGCGGAAACGCAGAAATCATTAATTCATTTCCTTTCGGTATTCAACGATCTGGGGCCCTCAAATGCTTCCTGGGTTTTTTGGGGGAGGTGACGGGGTCTGAATTGTGGTGTGTTGTGCGAGAGTAGACCGGGGGCCAAACTTGAAAAACAAGAAAAAGGAATTGTGGGATGTCCATTTTTTCCAGTTCCTCGGCGTCGTTCGGCGCTGTGTTTTGTTTGTGCCTCGTGGGTTTTGTTAGCCCGGCTCCTCAGGGGTGTTGGTTCTTCCGGACCCCCTGGGGGTTCTGGAGGCCTCCTGTAGGCCTGGAGAGCCGTGTCTCGGGCTGCGCGGGAGCGTGTTGGGCCGTTCTTTACGCTCTGGGGACTCCTCAGGTCGTCTTGGGCTGTCTTTGGGCGTCTTGGGGGTCCCCCGGGAAGCCGGGAGGCGCGGTACTGGCCAAATGTCAGGGGATGTGCGGGATCTCCGAGTCAGAGTCCCACTATATATATATATATATATATATATATATATATTGGAGAAAAAACAAAACAAAAAGAGAGAGAGAGAGAACAAAAACAAACAAAAACACAAAAAACTGGAATTCTGGGCATTCCCTTTTTTCCAAACCCTCCTTGTGTTGGGTACTCGTTTTGAATAGAGCACTGTGGTATCCACCTCCCGCCCTCTCCTCCTTCTTCTCTCCTGTGTTCGCGGTGCCCTGCTGGGCTGCGATATGCGCAACTGTCGCCACGTTCGTGGGCTCCTGGGAGGCCCAGCGGAGGTACGTCCTACGCGGACCACTTTGAGGCCTCCCTGTCCCCTGCGGGGCTGCGATCTGCGCAACTGTCGCCACTTCGTGGGTTCCTGGGAGGCCCAGCAGAGGTACGTCCTACGCGGACCACGTTGAGGCCTCCCTGCCCCCTGCGGGGCTGCGATCTGGCAACTGTCGCCACTTTCGTAAGTTCCTGGGAGGCCCAGCAGAGGTACGTCCTACGCGGACCACTTTGAGGCCTCCCTGTCCCCTGCGGGCGCACTTGTCGCACCTGTCGCACCTGGCGCCCCCTGGCGCAGTGGACGCCCAAAAGGCAAACACGCCCAAAATATCAGTTTCCCCAAAGGAAATCTACGATTTTTGCTTATTGGGATCCCCGATCCTCATCGTTCGCACGCCATGTTCCGGAGGAGCGTTCCTGGAGCACGGGGCGCCAGAGGCCCCCCCGCTCTCCCCCCCTCCCTGACTATCCTGCCGAGGAACTCTTGGGTTGCGCAAGGCCGGTCTCGCGGGCTCCCTGGGGCTTCCCGGGCCCGCCCAGGGCTGTTTGGGAACGGACCTGGAGGCGCGCTGGGCCCCATTGGAGCGTCGGAAAGCCGAACAGACAAGAAGGCCAAGATCCTCCAATTCCTGAGTCAAACGAACGATTTTGGCCTGTTGGGACCCTCTTGGGGGGTGCTCCTGGAAGCGTCCTGAGCCATGTTTGAAGCCTCTTGGGAGCTATCTGAAGCCCCCTGGGGCTCTCTTGAAGCGGAAGCCCTGGGTTTTCCGAGCGCGGTCCGTCTCTTGGACACCTTTCGGGCCTGTTTGGGGCCCTCGTGGGCGGCCCTGGGCGCTTCTTGGGCCAGCCTTGGGCCCTCTGGGACCGCCTCGGGGCGGCCTTGGGAGCTGTTTGGGAGCGGTCTCGGAAGTCTCCTGGGCCGCCTAGGAGCGTCGGACAGCCGCCGAGATCAGAAGACCAACCCTCCAAGACTATTGAAAAAATCAATGTTTGGCCTGCTGGGGCCCTCGTGGGAGTGCTTTTGGAAGCGTTTGGAGCCATGTTGGAGGACTCTTGGGGGCCGCCCGGGGCCTCCCGGGTCACGCAGGGAAGGGGGCAGGGGGAAAAAGGCCAGAGAGCGCTGAAGGATACAAATACTGGAACCCTCTTGTGATTTTGTGGGGGGCCTCGTCCCGTCGCTCGCTGGGAGTTTGACGTAGCTTCTCGGGAGCCTCTGAACCTGTCGGGGGCCTCCTGGAAGCAGGTTCGAAGCATTTTGGGGGCCGATTTGGGGCTTCTCGGGGCCTCCTTTGGGCCTCTTGGGGGTCTCCTGGGGCCTCTTGAGGGGCCTCCTTGGGGCCTCCTGGCGGCCTCTTGGGGCGGAAGGCTCGAGCTTGCGGTTCGTGGTCCCCCTCTGGGCCCCTCTTGGGCCGTCTTGGGGCCCTCTTGGGCCATCTTGGGCGCCTCTTGGGCCGTCTTGGGGCCCTCTTGGGCTGTCCTGGGGCCCTCTTGGAAGCTTTTTTTTTTCAAGGGTTGCGGCACCTTTGGAGCTTGACGGTACTCAAGGCCGCGCTGAGTAGGCGCTCAGGAGCGGCTAGGCAAGGGATAACAACTTATCAGGCCCCTGTCGGTGTTCTGAACATTACCGACGCCGACGCCATATATACAGAATGTTGTAAACACTTTCAAACGATTAAGAGCATGTCGGATACGATTCATTGCACTGCGCTAGCAACTGCACTACACTGCACTAATCATTGCACTGCGCTAGCAACTAGACGGCGTCGATTCGTGCACTACGGTAACCCCTGCACTAGGAGGGCGGAGGGCGCGGCCGCCGCGCCCTCTGCCCTCCGCCTCCTCCTTCCCCTCACTGTATCACGCGACGTTCCCGTACACCGGCTGGCCGATGAGCGGCTGCGGCTGGCCGACGAAGGGCTGGCCTTCCAGGGGCGCGCTCGCCGCGGTAGTCAGGCTGCAGCAGCACTCGACCTTGACGCTGGTGGCGGCGTCGATCTCACGCGCTTCCTGCGCGACGACACACTGAGTACAGAACGCGTACATGAGGAAGTCCACGGCGACGCCGGGTCCCCCCTCCTCGCTCCCGCCGAGCTTTACCCGCAGCTTGCGGCGGTACCTCTGGAAGACGGCACCAGTGATGATCGCCAAGATCATATTCGTGAGGCTGGAGGTAAGGCGGGTCGCGTGCTCTGGGTCGCCACCACTCGCCGCGATGCTCGCGCCCACAAAACTCGCGACGAAACTGCTCACGATGTCGGCGACGATGACTGCGAGGACGAAGATGCCGATCACGGTCCAGTACTGCTCGATGCCAGCCGCCTGGAAGGTGTCCCCGGCGCGGCAGCATGTGCAGAAGAACGCGTGCATGCAGGTGTGGCAGTCGTCGAAGCAAGCGAAAGGGCCGTTCTCGAAGTCGCCCGAGGGGAGCTGCCGCGCCGCCTGGTCCAAGTGCGGCCTCTTGTCGGTTACGTCCTGCTTGTACTTGCAGGCGAAGACGAGCTGCCCCACGCAGGCGCCGATCGAGATCGCAGTTAAAGTCATCATGGCTATCAGCAGCAGGCCTGCCTCCGCCTCGTGGTGGCCATCCATGCCGTCGGAGCCAGAGCCCCACTGTCCGTTCATGGCCGCCTCCAATTCCTTCTTGAGCTCCTCCTCTTCGTCTCCGGCGTTGAAAAGATCGCCGCCATGGTCCCCTGTCAACCGCCTCGACATCACCGCCTCTGGCGCCCAACCGTGGGGTACCAGCGCCGGCACCAGTCTGGCGCTCGAGCCCAACGGCCACGGCGCCACCAGGTCGAGGCTCAGCAGCGCCAGGGGCAGCATCAGCACCAGCGGGAGCATCGCGCAGCGGACGTGGTCGCACGGGCTGCGTCGACGGCACTGCTCTCGCACGATATTGATGGCGGCTCCCTCTTGAGCCAAAATGGCTACGGACCCTCTTGGAAGCTTCTTGGGCCGTCTTGGGGCGGTTTTGGGCGCCTCTTGGGCCGTCTTGGACGCGGCGGAAGCCCAAGAGGCGAACATGCGAAAAATATACGCTTTCCCATAGGAATGGCACGATTTTTGCTTCTTGGGCCTCTCTTGGGCTGCCTCTCGGAGCGTCTTGGATGCTTCTGGGACCTTCTTGGTGTCATGACAGGCGTCTTGGAAGGCATCTGGAGCCATCGAAGCGCGTTCCGAAGCCGCCTGCGAACGATCTTGGACGGCGTCCGGCGGTCCGACGAGCCTCCGGGCCCCCCGGAGCCCACATTTGTGGTCGGGGTCCCGGCCCTGGGCCCCCGGACCCGGTGCGCCGTTATATGTATATACATACATGCATACATGCATACATACATACATGCATGCACACATACATACGTAGGTTCACACATACATACCTATATGCATGCATACATACATATACATACAGTCATACATTACATACATGTATCCATACATACATACATACGTACATCGAACCATGCATACATACATACGTACATGCATGCATGCATACATGTATGTGTATATATATACATACATTGCGTACATTACATACATACATGTATGCGTGCATGCATACATAGATCAATATACACATAGAAACATACATATATCAATACATACATACATGCATGCCTACACACATACAGACATACATAGATAAATGCATGCACGCATACATACATAGATCTCCATACTCACATGCCTGCATGAATACACACATACACACACGGACACATGCATACATACATACATACACGTGCCCGTGCACATACGCATACACATACACATGTCCATGCAGATACACATATGCATACATACATACATAAATATATGTGTATACGTACATACATACAGGCATACATCCATACACGCCTGCATGCATACGTAAGCATACACATACACATACACGTACACATGCACATACACATATGCATACATGCATACCTACATGCATACCTACATGCATACATACATACATACATACATACATACATACATACATACACATACATACACATACATACATACATACATACATACATACATGCATGCATACATACATACATGCATACATGCATACATGCATACATACATGCACACATACCTACATGCACACATACACATACACATACACATACGCATACACATACACATGCACATACACATACACATGCACATGCACATACACATACACATGCACATACATAAACGCATACACATACGCATCCATGCAAAAAAACAACCAACAAAAAACGGATCCGGCTCCCCGCTCCAGCCTCTTTCATAGATCATTCTTCCTGTCCCCCTCCCCTCCAACCTTGTTCCTTCCTCTCAAACGCCTCCTCCTCGTCCCCCTTCGTCGTCCCTCATCCATCCTCCCTCCCCTTGCCCATCATTCATTCACACTCCTCCCAACACTGTTTTCAAGTCAACCAGGCAGCCTTGTCATCCATATTTGGGGGAGACGGACATAAGGGGGGAGAAGGAGAAGGAGAAGGTAAGGAACCCTCTCCCATCACGTACACTTTAACGTGATTCAACTTCGCCGAGCTGCCGTGTGTCTGCAGCAAGGCCAGAAGTGTGGGAAAAGAGGGGTGCAGGGCCGTTACAGATGAGGAGGCCCAACAAGCGACTACGCCCTGCACGGTCGAAGCTAATCAGATCCGAACTTCTGCACGTGTAGACCTGCTGGCTATGTTCAGAGCACGTCAAGACCTCGGAGGAACAGGAGCAGAAGCCCGAGCAGGAAAGGTGGTCCCCAAACGCCCCCGAACGACTGCATTGAACCCGCTGTACGATCCCTCCTCCGCCTCCTGACATTCCTCTTCCCTTTCTCATTATTCCTCCTCTGTCTTCCTCCGCGCTTCCTCCTCCTACGCCTCACTTGGCTCTGACCTCACTCAGCTCCTACGTATCTTCCTCCCCCGCCGCCCCCTTCTTCTCATCTCCCTCGTCCTTCTCCTCCTCCTCCTCCACCTCCTCCTCGTCCTCAGCGTCCTCCTGTCCCACATCAGAGTGTGCCTCCTCATTCCCCTCATCAACCACTTCCTTGACCTCCAAATCATCATCCTAGTCGGTAGTCCTCATCCTCCTGTTCCTCCACCTCGGCCTCCGCCGACCCCTGCTTCGACTCCCTCGACCCTTCTACCCTTGCTCTGACTCCTACCCCCAGGCATGTGTTATCGTCAAGGTGTTACGCCATGCCCCAAGACAACGAGGGTCCCCAGAAAACTCCAAGCAGCACTCGCACGGGCTCTCTCGCGAGTGCTCCCCGTCCCTGGTTCCAGCGGCCCGCCCCCCCCCCTCCATCACACTGTTTGTCCCTTCCTTTGAGCTCCTCCCCCTCCACCATCTCGTCCCATTCCTCGCCCTCCTCCCCATGCTCTTCGCACTCGTCCTCGGATCAACGTCCACCTCATCGCCATCACCAGCATATGCAAACACACTCACGATCGTTAAGGCTAACACCGTCCTCGACCGTCCCATGATCAGCACCACAGTCATCACTCGCCACAGTATGCATGTCAAGCATCATCATCATCATCATCATCATCATCATCATCATCATCATCATCATCATCATCATCATCCTCATCATCATCCTCATCATCATCATCATCATCATCATCATCAGCATCATCTGTATCATCATCAGCATCATCATCAGCATCATCCGCATCATCGACAACATCATCGACATCATCGTCGCCATCATCATCAGCATCATCATCGTCAGCAGCATCAGCATCATCACCATCACCATCACAGTCATCTTCATCATCAGCAGCAGCATCAGCAGCAGCATCAGCAGCATCATCATCAGCAGGATCAGCACCAGCATCATCGTCATCGACGTCAGCGACGCCATCGTCATGGTCATCATAAGCATCACAACCGCCACCAACACATGCACCATCATCATCCTCATCATCAGCATCATCAGCATCATCAGCATCAGCAGCATCATCGTCATCGTCGTCGTCGTCAGTATCACCAGCAGAATTCGCAGCAGCAGCGTTAGCACCACCAGCATCACCATCAGCATCAGTGGCAGCATCGACATCAGGGTCAGCATCAGCAGTATCAGCCCGACGACCACCACCATCAGCATCTCGGCATCGCCACCATCATCAACAACGGCATCATCACCACAAACAGCATCATTAGCATCAGAAGCATCAGCATTACCATAGTCATCAGCAACATCATAATCAGCATCAGCATAATGATCACCACCACCACAAACACATCATCACCGAGACCATCACCATGATCACCATCCTCATCAACATCCCCATCACCATCACTGTCACCATAACCATCACCATCACCATCACCAACACCATCGTCATGATCATCATCATCATCATCAGCAGCAGCATCATCATCAGCATCATCAGCATCAACATCATCAACATCAGCATCATCATCATCAGCATCATCGGCATCATCAGCATCATAATCAGCATCATCAGCACCAGCACTATCATCATCACCATCATCATCAGCAGCATCATTGTCATCATCATCATCATCATCATCATCATCACCATCATCATCATCAGCATCGTCATCATCATCAGCATCAGCAGCATTAGTATCACAGTCAGCATCATCATCACCACCATCATCATCATCAACAGCAGCAGCAGCACCCCATGTCGTCCGCCGACGACGGCGACACCTCATCGACAACGACGACGATGACGACGACGATGGAAACGAAGAGGCGGTGCGGTCCAGCGCAAGCAGCGACTTTTCAAGCTCCTCCTCCTGAGGCGACGGCGAGCGCCTGCGCAGCCACGCCCGCAGAAGTGGGGGGGCGCTCCTCGTCCTCCTTCTCGTCCTTCCACTGCTCCTCCTCCCTGTCGTCTTCCTCATCCAGCTCGTCCTACTCGTCTTGCTCCTGCTCGCCATGGTCGTTGCCCGTCGTTTGTCCTCGTCCAACTCTCCGTCCTCCGCATCCTTCCGCTCCTCCTCTTCTTCCTGATCCTCCTCCTCCTCTTCCTCCTCCTCCTCCTCTTCCTCATCCCCATCATCATCATCATCATCATCATCATCATCATCATCATCATCATCATCATCATCAGCATCATCAGCATCATCATCATCATCATCATCATCATCATCAGCAGCAGCAGCAGCATCATCAACATCGTCATCATCATCATCATAATCATAATCATCATCATCATCATCATCATCAGCATCATCATCATCATCATCATCATCATCATCATCATCATCGTCAACGTCATCAGCATCATCATCAGCATCATCATCATCATAATATTCAGAATCATAAGCATCACCATCACCATCACCATCACCATCACCATCACCATCACCATCATCATCATCATCCTCATCATCATCATCATCATCATCATCATCATCATCATCATCATCCTCATCCTAATCATCGTCATCATCATCATCATCATCATCATCATCATCATCATCATCATCATCATCATCAGCAGCAGCAGCAGCAGCAGCAGCAGCAGCATCATATCTCATCATCATCATCATCATCATCATCATCATCATCATCATCATCATCATCAGCCTCACATCTCATCATATCATCATCATCATCATCATCATCATCACAGCAGCCGCAGCAGCAGCATCATCATCATCTCATCATCATCATCATCATCACATCAGCATCATCAATCATCATCATCATCATCATCATCAATCAGCATCAGCATCAGCATCATCATCAATCATCCATCAATCATCAGCATCAGCATCATCATCTCATCATCATCATCATCATCATCCATCATCATCAATCATCATCATACATCATCATCATCATCATCATCATCATCATCATCATCATCATCATCCATCATCATCATCCCATCCTCATCCTCATCCTCATCCTCATCCTCATCCTCATCCGTCATCATCATCATCATCATCATCATCATCATCATCATCATCATCATCATCATCATCATCATCATCATCATCATCATCATCATCATCATCATCGGTGCCTCCTCGTCCTCCGCCTGGTCGCCGCGGCTGGCCTGGCCTGGGGACTCGCAGGGCGCGAGAGAGGAGACGAGGCAGAAGCTCTTCTCCGCCGGCGACAGACCAGGGAGGGGACGACGCCAACGACAGGGGAGGCGGAGGAGGAGGAAGAGGAGGAGGAGGAGGAGGAAGAGGGGCAGGAGGAGGAGGAGGAGGAGGAGAAATAGGAGGAGGGGGAGGGGGAAGAGGAGGAAGAGGAGGAGGAGGAGGAGGAGGAGTGGAGGAGGAGGGGTTAGGGGGGAAAAGGGGCGGAGGAGGAGGAGGAGGAGGAGGAGAGGAAGAGGGAGGGAGGGGAGGAGGGGGAAGGTGGGAAAAGGCAGAGGAGGAGGAGGAAGGGAGGAGGGGGAAGGAAGCCCCCCGGAGGGCTGCCGTGGATCGCCCTACGTAGGCCTACACACGGGGCCGTCCGTCGCGGCCCGCGTGCGGTCGCAGGAGCCACGCTCCGCCCGGGCCGTCCCCGGGCTGCGGGCGCAGCCCCCACGGAGAGGAGGACGAAGACGACGACTGGATCGCCCTACGTAGGCCTACACACGGGGCCGTCCGTCGCGGCCCGCGTGCGGTCGCAGGAGCCACGCTCCGCCCGGGCCGTCCCCGGGCTGCGGGCGCAGCCCCCACGGAGAGGAGGACGAAGACGACGACTGGGAGGAGGAGGAGGAGGAGGAGGAGGAGGAGGAGGAGGAGGAGAGGAGGAGGGTGAGGAGGAGGAGGAGGAGGAGAGAGGAGGAGGAGGAGAGAGGAGGAGGTAGGGGAGGAGGAGGAGGAGGAGGAGGAGGAGGAGGAGGAGGAGGAGGAGGAGGAGGAGGAGGAGGGAGGAGGAGGAGGAGAGGAGGAGAGGAGGAAGAGGGGAGGAGGAGGAGGAGGAGGAGGAGGAGGAGAGAGGAGGGCGACGAGGCCCCCCAAGTGGCCACGCGCGGTCGCTTCCGCCTCGGCGCTGGCGACGCTGCCAGCGGCGCTGGCGGGCCGTCGCCGTCGTCGTCCTCGTCGCCCCAGCCGCCCGCGGCCTCCTGGAGGAGAGGGGGGGGGGCGGGGAGAGGGAAGGGGCCCAGGACACACAAATAAGTACACACACATAGAAATATTCCCCATATGTTCCTATATGTTCTGGGTGTTTGTCTTCCCCCCACTTCCCATATGTTCCCATATTTTCTGGGGAATCGACGATGAATTGTGTCTGTGTGTTTTTTCCCTCCTGATCTACGCGGTCCAGGGGGCCGCTTCGCCGCCCCGAGATCGTCGAGCAACTGCTCATGACAACGAGCCGGTGCCAGGGAAGGGGCCGAGAAGGTACCACGGGGGCCCACGTCACCAAAAACGTGCGACGTTGGAGGATTAGGAAAAAGGGGCAGGAAGGGAAGGATAACGAGGAGGAGGGGAGGAGGAGGAGGAGGAGGTGGAGACAGGAGTGGGGTTCCAGGGCGACCAAGGGAGTCTAGAGGGGCTTCCGGGCGCAATGGAGACGGATTCGGGGGTCTCGGTGGAGGAACAACGAACGAAAGGAAGGACATCCAGGATAACAAAACGATGCGAATGACGAGGGAGCAAAGGAAGAGGATAAAACATTTGAAAGAAAAACGGAAGGACTGACTGGAGAGAGAAAAGAGATGGAGACAAGGGAGGAGAACGGAATCAGAGAGGAAAGGCTGAAGAAGAAAATGGAACGGGGAGATGAAATCTAGAGGGCGCACGGCAACGACAACAACGAGAAACGAAATGTCCGATGCTCAGCAGTGGCTGACGAAACGATAAAGCCCTCGCCGTACGTATGATGTACGCGACCCGCGCCCATTTTCAGACACCAACGCCTGCTGCGGACAGACGATACCCGAGAACCACGAGAAAAAAAAAAGAAAAAGAAACACAAGGAGAATGCGAGGACGAGATCACACACCGCGCCCCGTGGCACGCTGAGGCGCTGTCGAACGCCAAGGGCTGCACGGCAGGATTTCTGTCATGCTCTATGGGATCCCTCCCTCTAGTCGCGGGCTGCCCCTCGCGCGCACCCCCCCTTTCTCGAGGCCACGATCCCTCGTGCGGAAAAATTGGCCGTCGCTTCCGACGCCATCCCGAGGCCACGCTTCCCCACGCGCAAAGATCCATGCATCTGCGCTCCCGAGGTTCCAAGTCATCGTGCAAGAAATGGACGGGCCCGCGGGGACCCGAGGCAGCGATGCGTAGTCAAAACTGCCTTGTTTTCCGCGCTCGCGAGGTCCTCCCAAGGCCACGGTACCTCGTATACGTGAATGGGCTCGCGGACCCGACCTCGCGATGCTTCGAGATAGCAGGAGGGCCCCGCGCTCCCGAGCCCGAGGCCGCCATCCATTGCACAAAAACCACGGGGCCGGGCCCCCGAGCTTCCAAAACGGCCGAGGCCGGCAAACCGGGGCCGCCGAGATGGCCCAGGATGCCTCCAGGACGGCCCGAGATGGCTCCAAAAACGGCCCACGGAGGGCCCCAGCCCAAAAAGAGCCACGAGAGGGACCCCGGCAGGGCCCCAAGACGCCAAGATCACTGACTCCCCCACCCCCAGCTGCGGCCCACCCGTACAACATCACCGAGGACCATCCTGTGGAGCCACCACGACCCCCAACATAGCCGCTGAATTACGAAGGAGTTGCGCGGCAATGTTTGACTGTTTGAAAGCATGAAGTGCTGGGCGCGCAGGCCCGCCTGCAACGCCCCCTGACGAGCATCCAAGTGAATCAAACATCACCGCGGCCGTCGCCATCATCACCGCCAAGACCACAAGAGAACAAATGTTACCATCATCATCGCGCTGAGGGCACTCGTTGCCACAGCCGAGTGCTGCGAGTTCCCAACAGCATTCGTCGACAGCTCTCCAAAGAAAAACCGCCCAATGGGTCTTTGAAAGGGCCGCCCGAAGGGCCGCCGAAAGGGCCGCCGAAATCGTCGCCGAAATTGTCGCTGAAATTGCCGCCGAAATCGCGGCCGAATAGCAGCCGAAATTGCAGCCGAAATTGCCGCCGCCGAACTTGCCGCCGAACTTGCCGCCAAAATTGCCGCCGAAATTGCCGCAAAAATTGCCGCCGAAATAATTGCGAGCTCCGCCAAAATAGCCGCCGAAACTCAGCCGCCAAAATCGCCGCCGAAATTCAGCCGCCGAAATTTTCATTGCCCTGTCCCAAGCGAAATCACGGTTCTATTAAACACAACGACGCCGCGGACACAGGCATAGAGTCACAGCCAAAATCAAATCCCACCAGCCCTTTAGGGCGTAGGTGGTCTAGAGAGTTTCCTCTGCCAACCCCCCTTCTTTCCCTTCGGGGAGGGGTTTACCCCTCCCCTTACCCCTCCCCACTGACCTGGACGGGGCGTTCCGCGACGCGTTGGGACGCCCAAGATGGCCCAAGACTGCTCCAAGAGCGAAAAGGCGAGAAAACACAAAACATTGATTTTCCTTAGGTTTTGGAAGGATTTTGGCCTCTTGGGGGGGCCCAAGAGGCGATCCGAGGCACTCTAGAGGGGCGAGGCTAATTAAGGCTCCCCCCTTCTTTGATAGATCTCCTCCAAGATGGCCCCAAGAGCGCCCCGAAGGCTCCCAAGAGCGCCCCAAGAGCGCCCCAAGAGCGGCCCCAAGAGGCCCCCAAGAAGCCTCTAAGAGGCTGCCAAGAGACCCCCAAGAGGCCCCAAGAGAGTCCAAGATGGCCCAAGACGGCTCCAAGAGCGAAAAGGCGAGAAAGCAAAAAACATTGATTTTACCTAGGTTTTGGAAGGATTTTGGCCTCTTGGGGGGCCCAAGAGGCGACTCGAGGCACTCTAGAGGGGCAGCGCTAATATACGCCCTCCCTTCTTTGATCGATCTCCTCCAAGATGGCCCCAAGAGCGCCCCGAAGGCTCCCAAGAGCGCCCCAAGAGCGCCCCAAGAGGGCCCCAAGAGGCCCCAAGAGGCCCCCAAGATGCCCCCAAGAGGCTCCCAAGAGACCCCCAAGAGGCCCCAAGATGCTCCCAAGATGGCCCAAGACGGCTCCAAGAGCGAAAAGGCGAGAAAGCAAAAAACATTGATTTTCCTTAGGTTTTGGACGGATTTTGGCCTCTAGGAAGGCCCAAGAGGCGATTCGAGGCACTCTAGAGGGGCAACGCTAATAAGCAACCCCCCCTTCTTGATAGATCTCCTCCAAGATGGCCCCAAGAGCGCCCCGAAGGCTCCCAAGAGCGCCCCAAGAGCGCCCCAAGAGGGCCCCAAGAGGCCCCAAGAGGCCCCCAAGAGGCCTCCAAGAGGCCTCCAAGAGACTCCCAAAAGGACACAAGAAGCTCCCCGAGATACGCAAGAGGCCCCCGGGACCGCCAAGAGGCCCCAAAGACGGCCCAAGAGGCCCCCAAGCTCGCCATTGTCCTCCTCCTCCTCCTCTTTTTCTCCCTCCTCCCTCCTCCCCCTCCCCCTCCTCCTCCTCCTCCTTCTCCTCCTCCTCCTCCTCCTTCTCGTCCTCCTCGTCCTCGCCCTCCTCCATCTCCTCCTCCTCATCTTCCTCCTCCTCCTCCTCCTCTTCCTCCTCCCCCTCCTCCTCCTGCTCCTCCTCCTGCTCCTCGTCTTCCTCCTCCTACTCCGACGACGACGACTCCTCCTACATCCTCCCCCTCTTGGAACGTATGGCGGCTTAACCCGCTCTTTGTTCTTCTGCATGCTCCCCCGCTTCCCTCATCACCTCCACTCCTCTGGGGCTCATTTCTGGACGGGCTGGTGGGGATACGCGAAGCGTCTAGAATTCGACCTCTTTTTGGCGGCACCATTCGGAATGTCGGCGGAAATTTCGGGGGGAAATTCGGCGGCGATTTTGGCGGCAATTTCGGCGGAGATTTTGGCGGCTAATTTCGGCGGCAATTTCGGCGGCAATTCCAGCGGCCCTTTCGAGTGCTCTTTCGGCGGCGATTTCGGAGGCAATTTCGGCGGCCCGTTCGACAGGTCTTTGGGCGACCCTTTCGGCGGCGTTGCTTCTGCCAACTGCTGACAATGGCCCGACCTTCCTCGGGTGGCCCGGCCTTCCTCGGGTGGCCTGGTTGCCCAGCTGCCCGCCTTTCCAAACGCACGGTTGCCCTGTTGCCCCGTTGCCAAGTTGCCCATTTGCTCGGATGCACGGTCGCCCAGTTGCCCGGTTGCCAGGGTTGCCCGGTTGCCTGGTTGCCCAATTGCCCCCACAAAGCAATGCCAAGAAATACACAGCAACTGAAAGCATCGCCAAGCAATGCAAAGCAGTGCAAAGCCATGCGAAACCACGACAAGCCATGCAAAGCAATTCTTTCCTTGCTAAGTTCCATGCTTGGGAAAGTGTCACCTAGTTAGGGTGGAACCAGGTTAATTGCCAATTGGACGTTGCAAGATTGGGCGTCTTCACCTTCCGGGCTTCCTGCAGCTCCGCACGGTGTCAGAAGCCTCCCGGATATCCCAAAGGTGGCCGAAGCCCCAAGATAACAAATGACGAACGAACAACACGCACCCATACCCATAGGGGGGTCGCTGGGCGGAGGACTGGCTATGGGTATGGGTGCGGGTTGTCGGACCCTGGGGAACGCTCCCGTTCGAGCGGGGACCCCCATCCGACAACACGTACCCATAGCCCTCTCCGATCCCCCTATGGGTATGGGTGTGTGTGCTGTTGGTTCGTCAAACAAAACCATAGCATCAAGGACGGCCTCAAGGCAGCCCCGAGAGGGCCCCTGAACGGCCCAGGGCTGCCCCAAGAAAGCCCCAGGCTGGCTCGAGAGGGCGCCCGCCCCTCCCGGGGCCCGTGGGCGGTCTGTCCACCGCGCAGCTGCTCCGCCCTCCTCCTCCTCCTCCTCCTCCTCCTCCTCCTCCTCCTCCTCCTCCTCCTCCTCCCCCTCCTCCTCCTCCTCCTCCTCCTCCTCTCCTCCTCCTCCCTCCCTCCCCTCCCTCCCTCCCCCTCCTCCCTCCCTCCCTCCCTCCCTCCCTCCTCCTCCTCCTCCTCCTCCTCCCTCCTCCTCCTCCTCCTCCTCCTCCTCCTCCTCCTCCTCCTCCTCCTCCTCCTCTCTTCCTCAACTTGGCTTCCCGAGGCCCATCATAGGAGTACTAAGCTAGTTTGGGTGTTTCGGCAGAGAGTCCCCCGACGGTCCAGGACGGCCCAGAGACTGCCACGGGAGCCCCCCCCCCCCCCCCCCCCGGCCAGGAGGGGCCTCGACCCACGAGGGCCCAGGAGGAGGAGGAGGAGGAGGAGGAGGAGGAGGAGGAGGAGGAGGAGAGAGCCCCGAGACTGCCCAAGAGGGCCCCGAGACGGACAAGAGCGGACGGAGGGACCCCAACCACTGGCCCTCGAGGAGCCCAAGAAAGACCTGAAGAAAGGGAGGGGGGCGCCGAAGGCGAGAAGACTACCCCCGACACGACGCGGAAGAGTGCGTCGCGTGCTGCTGCTTCCACGAGACTCGGGACACGATGTGTCACACTGTACGGCTTCCAGTGCGCACCCCGGACAGTCGCCACCCAAGCTTCTATTGAGCAGGGACCGACCGTCCTGGCATCCCTATAGTCCATCCACGACATGTTATTAGAACCCAAAAAGATTCTAAGAACAAAAACAAGGTTCTTAGAACATAAGCCCGATGTGTTAGCACAGGACAATATCAACCAGAAATGTTCTAAGAATATTTCGTGGAGACCACAAAAGGTTCTTAGAACATTGGTTGGCATGGGCTATAGGCGAGCCAGGACGCTTCGCCATTGCTTGATTCTAGGCTGAAGGAGGAGGGAGAGGAGCATAAGTAGGGGGACGCCTGCGCACGCCGTACCATTCAGCAGACGACACTGGCAGACAAGAGGGCCCCAGGGCTTGAGATTGTTGGGTCTCGGAGCAGGCCGCCAGGTGCAAGCGAGCGCCACTCGTGCATCGACACCAAGCCTTGCCAGGCTGCTGCTGGATCCTGCACTGGCGCATCATGAGCTCATGGTCGCTGTTCAAGCCAGGCTTGGCATCTCTCAGCGTGCTCTGAGTTGCCCTCTTTGGTCCTCATCACTTCTCCCGTTACTTGTGGGATAAAGCTCGTCCCCTGAATGGCATCACCGTCTTACTCCTCGGCCTCTGTTATCTAATGTTCAGTTGAACCGCTTTTGCACACGTCCTCCGTACACAGAGCATCGTGAATACAAATAGGTAGCTCGCCCCCGACAACGGCAAGTAAGACGATCGCTCCTCCGCCTCCTCCTCATCATCATCCTCTTCCCGCTCCTCCTCCTTCTCCTCCTCATCCTCATCTTCCTCCTCCTCCTCCTCCTCCTCCTCCTCCTCCTCCTCATCCCCCGCCGCCAGCGACGACCAGTCCTGCTCATCCTCCACCGGCGACGACGACAGCCGCGGCGGCGGCGACGAAGACGAAAGCACCGCTTGGCCACCCCCTTCGTCCACCGACGACGACGGCGGCACCGGCGACGACGACGACCACGGTGACCACGACCGTGACGACCAGGGCAACCATGGCCACGGCGATCACAACGACCACGACGACGACGACCAGGACCACGACGACGACCACGAACACGATCACAACGACGCCGATCACAAGGGCTACGACGATCCAGACGACAACGACGACCGCGACGGCAACGAGCGCTTACAGGACACCCTTGGCGGCAGAAGGCCCTAGACAGCTCTGCAGTATACTTTCAGGGATCACCATGGAGGACGCCAGAGAAAGCAAACTGCAGTCCAGAAAAAAACTCTGGGTATGAAACTGACCACCTGCCAGACCGCCCCAACCCGACCCGAAGACCCCCAACTTTCGGGTTGGGGGGCACGGGCTTCATGTGTGTGTTTTTCCTGTGTTGCCCGACCCCCCCCCCACCACTGGAGATGGAGGGCAGGCAAATCGGGGCCTTGGGGTTGGGGAGGAGGAGGAGGAGGAGGAGGAGGAGGAGGAGGAGGAGGAGGAGGAGGAGGAGGAAAGGAGGAGGATGAGGAGGAGGGTTGGGAGGTGGCTTGGATGGGCGGTGAGAAGCAGGGACCCCACGGGAGACCACACGGGAGACCATGAAGGGGCCCCGGGACACACCAACAAACAGGCGCAAGTAGCAGGATTCCCCCCTTATTTCCCCATATCTTCCGGGTTTTCGTCTTCCCCCCCACTTCCCATATTTTCCCATCTTTTCCTGGGGGTCGACGATTGATTGTGTCTGTGTGTTTTGTTCCCCTCCTGAGACCATGCGGGGGACCATGCGGGAGCATGGGGCACGGGCCACCGATGCGGGATCCGGGGATCCTCACGCGAGGCCCTGGAAGCATGCTGCATGAATGACCGACCGACAGGCTGTGAGAGGGGAGAATGGCTCCTGGAGCCCTGCGGGGCTGCGGCCTGGCAAGAACGCCAAGGCTGATCTCCCGCCGTGGTCACGAAGACGCCCCCTCGGAGGCCCAGATGAAGAAAACGGCACTCAGAAGCCCTCGAACCTCGCACACTCGATCATCGATCCTCGATCCACGACGACGACGACGACGACGACGACGACGACGGCGTCGGCGACGGCGACGGCGATGACGACGACGACTACGACGACGACCACTACAATGACGACGGCGACGACGACGACGGCGACGACCACCACCACCACGAAGACACCGCCGCCGCTGCCCTTCTAGCAGCCGCCGACTGCCGCCGAGGGCTGCCGAGGGCCGCCGAGGGCTGCCAACGGCCCGCGGAGGGTCTGCGAAGGCCTCCGAAAGCCGCAGCCTCCGTTAGGTCGGGCCTGTCCCCCGACAGGGGCATCTCGGACGAAATAGGCACAAGATGCCCCAGAACCTGCAGCAATGGCCCAAAAACCCTCCCCTGACTATATTTGTTTGCCCCCTTTTGGAATGTTCCTCCTGTAGAGGGGCAGGCCAGACCTCAAGCCTCCGAGAGGTCGCCGAGGGCCGCCGGCGGCCGCGAGCAGCCCGTCCTCTGGCCGCCGGCCCCCGGCGCGCTCCGCCGGCGCCTCGCCCAGCCAGATCGGCCGCCCTGCGCCCGTGGGCGTCCGCGGGGCGGCCGCGCCTCTTGCCAGCGGCCGCGGGCGGCGGGCGCCGAGGGCCGGCGGCGGGTGGTGATGCGGATGCGGATGCCCGTCGTTTGTCCTCGTCCTGCTCTCCGTCCTCTGCATCCTTCCGCTCCTCCTCCTCTTCTTCCTCCTCCTCCTCCCCCTCCTCCTCCTCCTCCTCCTCCTCCTCCTCCTCCTCCTCCTCTCCTCCTCCTCCTCATCATCATCATCATCATCATCATCATCATCATCATCATCATCATCATCATCACATCATCATCATCATCATCATCATCATCATCATCATCATCATCAGCATCATCAGCATCAGCATCAGCATCAGCATCATCATCATCATCATCACATCACCCCATCACCATCACCATCATCACATCATCATCATCAGCATCATCATCACATCATCATCATCATCATCATCATCATCATCATCATCATCATCATCATCATCATCATCATCATCATCATCATCATCATCATCATCATCATCATCATCATCATCATCATCATCATCATCAGCATCACCATCACAATCATCATCGCCATTTTGTCGTCGTTATCATCATCTCTCTCCTCCTCTACCTCACCCAGGGGAGAAGGAATGGCAGGACACGGAGGAGGAGGAGGAAGACTCCAGTTCCAGCTTCTGATTCTGATTTACCTCCGCGATTGTCATACTCCTGTCCCCCCGTTCTCCTCTTCCTCCTCGTCATCTTCACCCACAGTAGTATCCTACCGCGACCGAACGAGGCCTGGGTTCGGGGGGCAGCTTCATGAGAAGGTTCGGGGTTCTTGGACAGGATCGCCCCACGTCCAGAAGGACGTACACAAACCATGCCCCTCTGGTTTGGCGCTTGCTGCTTCTGCTTCTCCTCCTGCTCCTCCTCCTCATCCTCCTGCTCATCCTCCTCCTCCTCCTGCTCATCCTCCTCCTGACTCTCCGTCCTCCGTCGCCCCATCCTCCTACTCCTCAAAGAGCAAGTTTCCCTCCTCCTCCTTCTCATCATCATCATCAGCATCAGAATCATCATCATCATCAGCAGCATCATCATCAGCATCATCATCATCACCATCATCATAATCATCATCATCAGCAGCATCATCACCACCACCACCACCATCACCATCATCAGCAGCATCAGCATCATCATAATCATCATCAGCATCATCACCACCACCGTTATCATCACCATCATCATTAGCATCAGCATCATCATCATCCTTTCCCCCCTCGCGCGGGAACGCTTCAGCCCCAACCATACCCACTGGCGACTACGCTTGGCTACTCTCGATGTTAAGTAGTGTCTTTCTCTCTCTCCTTGGTAGGGCGGTTCTGTGAATCAACTGAAACGCTCGACCGTCCACGTACGCACTGCGGCTTGAAGAAGCTCCTGCAAACAGGCGTCAAACGCTAAACCCGCTTGGAATATCACTCGGCCGTGCTCTCGGATAGTGCTCCTGTGGCTGGACAATACGGAGTTGTCCTTGCACAAACACCCCACCCTCCCACCCACACTATATTGTGCAATATCCATGCGGCCACGATTGCGGCTGGCACATCTCTGCGGCCGCGCTGGCGCGTGCAAGTTCGCGCGTAGAGCGGTCAGCTGGTTTGGCATAACTCACGCGACAGCGATGGCAAATGCCGATGTGAACTTCCCATCGAGTCTCAAAGGGCACGCTGGCACGCGGACAATTCAGTGCGAGTCGTTGGTTCGGGCGGGCGCAATATCATGGTAACGTAGACAACGGCGGCAACGACGATAAATACAGCAATGGCTGTGGCGATGACGCCGATCACGACGGAAAGGCCAATGACGACGGCGATGCAGGTGACCACGACGACGACGACCACGACGATGACGATGTCCAATGTGCCGGTGATGAGAGTGATTGTGATGATGATGATGATGATGATGATGATGATGATGATGATGATGATGATGATGATGATGATGATGGCGGCACAGGCGGCAATTGGGGATAACGATAGCGGCAGTGATGCGATGGCGCTGATGAAGGTAATGACGAGGAACTTCGCGCGCAGAAATTCAGCAAGTCGACATACTTTCTGTTGGTAACAACTTTCTTTTTTATATGCTTGTGACCAGAGATGCTGTAAGTGTTCGTTGAACTGATTTCGACGCGCGCGTGATGGCGCGCGCATGTGGCCCGCACGGCGTTATTTGGTAGGGAGTTGCACACTGGGCGCATGCTAGGTCAACACAGATGCACCGCGTCATGGAATGAGAACGCGGGTGTTGGGCGAGCTTGCTGAACTCGCACGGTTCTCCTACGATCTCAAAAAGTACGCGCGGGCAGTTACTCAACAAGGTGTTCGATGAATGTCTCCGACGGCAAGACCCCCCATGATCATTCTCCAAACTATCTGGAAGTAATCCTCATTGTCGTCCTTGTGAGTGGAGATGCTCTCTTCCTGTCTCCTCACCGCCTTCTTCCTGTTCGCCCTGGCGAAGGCGCTCTCCCCGCCCCCTGTTGTGCCTCCTCGTCGTCATCCTGCCTCCCGAGGGGTCTCGCTGAGACTCCCTCGCGGTTCACTCGCAGACGAGACACATGCTCGAGACATCCTCCGAAGTTGCCCCCGTTTGGGTGCTCAAGTGCTGTGCCTCCCTGAGTATGCCGATGACCCGCCCGGAAAACTGGCATGAAGCGCGGGCCTCATAAGCAGGGAGCTCCCACTCGAGACCGATGCCATCCCTTGGGGTGCTCAAGTGCGCTGCCTGCTGAAGTATGCCGACGACCAGCTTGGATGACTAACGTGGAGCGCGGGCACCATAGGCAGGCAACCTGCAGCTCGAGATTCACCCGCTGCTCACTCACAAACGAGGCCCCCGCTGGAGACACCCTCACGAGTGGCCCCCTTCTCGGGCGACGGAGCGTGACCACCGTCACCGCTGCAAGTGTATTTCTCGCGCAGGGTGCTCGGGGGCAGCGGGTGCGGCTGGTACAAGGAAAGATGCAGGCGAGAAACTTTCACGCGCGGCTGCCATCACGCGGAGAGCCCAACAGCCGCGCCCGGCGCCACCCGCCGCACGGGGAACGGTCCGGTCCGAACCCCAAGCGTCGATAGAGCGAAATCGCCCATCGGTGACCCCCAACAACCGAATGAATGGGACAACTCGGATGGGTACCGATCGCAGAGATCGGTGGGCACTCGCAATTCGTCGGCTCTGTCGCGAAAACCAATGAGAACCGATGGGGGAGTACCGATCGAGGAAGGCTCTGTCGGGTGCCGCAACTTTGCCTGAGGATTTCAAGCTGGGTTTGGCTGGAGTCCACGATGGGGAAGGCTTTTCGGAAATGCATTCCTCTGGCCACGACCCCAGGCGGCGCCAGAGCGACCCAATTTCTGGGGCGCGCAGATTGGATGAACTAACACTTGTGGCCGCGTTTCTGTCGCACAGCAACTATGACATTCGGTTCGGTGGTCAGATAATCTGGCATGGCCCTTGGGCCCTTGAGATGATCAAGCGATGCTTGCCAGGAGCATGACGACGTCCCGCTCAGATTACGAACATGGAGCGCAGGACCCAAAGTGAGGGGGATCCCGCTCGAAGCTTCCTCGCTGCTCACTTACAGACGAGGCTCCCGTTCGACTCCGGTAAGGTTGGCATGCGTGGGCGTGTGGGAGCGCGAGTGGATGCGCGAGCGTGTGCGGCGATCGTGATGGTGGAGAGGATGATAAAATTAACGAACATGATCCGCGATCATGATGGAAGTGATCATCATGATTGTCCTGATGACACGATTGTTGTGATGATGGTGGTGGTTATGTTGACGATGCAACGATGACGATGATGATGATGATAATGATGACGGCAACGACGATGTTGATGACGATGACGAAATCATTTTCAGAAAAATACTGCTTCCGGCAAGAAGCGGGATACGATGATGTTAATGTATCGGGCTCATCGCCCAGGATGGGTATATCAGACATGTTTTCTGTGATCCGTCAAGCTGTGAGTAACTGTATACAAGAGAATGAAAAAGGAGGAAGGACGACGATGGCACCGACGACAATCCACAACCTTTCCACTCTCGCGCCGGCCAGCCCGCGGTGCCCACAAGAGACGCTCCTCCTATACAGCCTAGATAGCCACGGGCGACGGCGGTAGGGAGCAAGCAAGGAGAGAAGAGTAATAACTGATGATGAAGGTTTTGTATGATGAGGTTGATGATGATGGTGATGATGATCATCATTATCATCATCAAGATGATAGTGCGTGTGGGGGGTGGGTGGTCCTTCCTGTTCCTGTACAGGGTGCCCAGAAAAGAAAAACTAGAGCCCCATTAGGATGTGAGGGAAAGGGGATCTCGCGGTGTACATGTCGGAGCGCTTGCAGAACTAATGAGCTTAGTATGACTTCGTTATGTGCGAACGCGTTGAAAGTGATGCATGTTTGTCAACGGATTATGCGTAATCATACTTGGAAGTAGCGAGTGTGTGAAAAGAGTATCCTTTGACAACGATGAAGGGGGGAAAAACCCAGTTGGCCTGGGATGGTACGACTTTGTATCCAGGATGGACGACAGTGCAAAATAATAGACGCCTCACCCACCGACCCAGAACTTGTTCGGCAAAACCCATGCGGCCACGCCTGCGATTCCCGATTAGACTTTGCAAGCGCGTCTCTACGGCCGCGCCGAGGGCGCTCGCGCGCAGAACGACCAGCTGCTTTGGCACAACTGACGTGGCCGTGATGGCGGTCACCGATGGGAACTTCCCAGCGCGTCACAACAGCCGCGCGGGCACGCAGGCTCTTGTGGACTCGGGCGGGCGCGATGCCATGTTAACGTGACAACGGCGGCCCCGATGATGATCATAGCGATGGCTGCGGCGATGATGACTATGACCACGGCGAGCCCAATGATAGCGTCGATGCAGGTGACGACGGTGACGATGATGACGTCCATGTGCCCGTGATGAAGGTGATTGTGATGATGGCAGCATGGGCGACAATGGAAGAAGACGAGA